AGTACTTAGCTGCAAGGTGCTTGTAAACACACCCCAGCTATTTGCATAGTGCTGTTCAAGGGAGTACCGTGGTAACTACAGGTAGAGAATAAACAGAAGGGGGGGCTACCACTCTAAGCACTGTGAAGTGACTCAAGTGAGTGACCAGGAAGCAGGACAACAGACTCAAGAAACAAAGGGCATGGGGGCGAACCAGGCTGCAAGGGCCTCAGGGGTCTTTTGTTAAGGAAGAAAGCAAAGCACAGCTTTCTCCCCAGCCTCCTCTTTTCTGAATGTCTACAATGAGAGTCCTTAAACTTACAGTTTAGGTTGCACCAGCTAAGAACAGAAAACAGGAACTGACTTTCAGGTCCTGCCTCAGGAATGCTTTTAATTGTAATAACTTGTAACCTCTCCGCTCTCCTGTGAATGGGGCCGCTCATACCCCACACGCCAACAGGGGGCTCTGCACTCTGCATTTATCTTGCTGGTCTTTTCTTTTCTTGCTCTTTCCTTCTTTCCTCCTCCCTTCCTCCTTCCCTCCCTCCCTTCCTTTCTTCTCCATGGGAACCCCTGGTTCAGACTTGGTCTCAGGGTAAGATTCTAATGCTATGTAGACCTTGAATGGCTCTCATACCCTACCTCACCTACATGAGAGTTATTTTTAAATAAAATCATCCACTTCCCGTGTTTACAGCATGCCTTACAAATTGATTTCTAGCACTCTGAGTATTTTGCTTCATGTAACCATTAAATGACCATTTATAGATTTACATCTGGGAATTTCTGGTGTTTGATGTAGTCTCTACTTCCAAGGTAATCAAACAGTCCGTACGCCCTTTGTTTTTAAACTTCTAGAATTGCTAGAAGAGAAAGGAAGGCAGTGAGGGAAGGCTAGAGAGGAAGGAAGCAGTACTGTGCAGCTGAATATTTTACCCCTAAGCCTGCCAAGGGGATTCATCTCCTTCTCTTAAAGGAAGGGGGCAGGATTTTCTTTCTTTTGCTTATCCGGTTGATAAAGAGAGAATCAGGCTGACAGAAGTAATCTGGTACAACTGAGAAACAAAGCTGATTCAGTATCTCAGAGTTTCACAGACAGAAGCACCAGAATATGGGCTATCCAAAGTAAATAACTTTTGGGAGGATAACTAGCAAGAAAAAACATATCTATAATACTAAAATCAGAAGATGATCTGAGAGCTCAGTGGCTCTTCTTGGCTATATAGCAAAGTACCCACACTCCTAACAGCTGATTAGCTGTTGACTGGGTCTGAATGATAAGAAGGCCTTGGTCTCAGTGGACCCCATAAGAGAGGTTTTTATATGTAGGAAGGCAGTAGCCCCAGTAGACAGAGGTTGCCTGGGACCCCCAGACATTCCTCTCTTACCCATGCTTAGAGATTCACAAGTTTTCTTTTCTCCCCATCTTTAAAAACAAATAATACATGTACCCAAAGGCCAACACAAAGCTTGACCCCAAAGTTATCATCATCATCCACATCTAATCATAATAGAACACATTCAATACAGGACTGCCAAATGAGTGACTAGCACCATACTTCTCCATCTCTCCTTTGGCACCTGGGATTCTTCTTGACACTGGTCATCCCTGTAACTCATTGATCCTTGACTCAAGCGTGCACACCTAGGAGACCTTGCCATCCCACCTTGCACGCTTTGCAGCCAGAAAGGTCTGGATTTGAGTCCGAGTTCATCACTTATAACCTTGGAGACATTGGGCAATTTTTGTCTGAGGAACAGAATAATGCATACAAAAGGTCTGACCCATGCCAAAATGCATCACAACTAATCCAATTAAAAAGTCAAATCTTACACCGAGGTGTTCACAGCAACCAGCACACACCCACACACACGAACAACACAACTGGCCTCCTAGTTTATCTGGATTTCACAGTTTTCTGTACCAGCACATACCACTCTATCCCCATCTTCCCAGAAAGGAGGAAGTTATGCCACCTTAAATGTGATTTGTCACACTTGGTAAATCAGGAGTTGAATTCTTAAAATTATATGCTTAGGTTTCCTGAAGCCATCTCTAAGTGGAAGTTATGACCAAACAGGCATCCATACCACTGGCTCTAGAATCTACCCCATTCCATCTTTGAAAAGAAATATACAAGAATTTTAAACCATAGAAGTTGATGAGGATGTCTTAATTTGCATAAACATGTGGCCTTGACAAAATGGCTTTCTAGTCAATTTCAAGACTTGGTGAAATAGGAAGCTGAATTTAACCTCAGCCCTTTTTCATAATTAAAACCTCAATAAATAAACAGTGGTTTGGAGGCATGGCAACAGATCTGCACCCTGCTTCTGATTAATGGAGATGCCTATTTGGGGTGTCAGGCACATCTGATTCTAGATAAGGAAGGTGCTATTCTGTTATATAGATGTGATTTCCTGCTGACAGAGTTAGAGGGGCTGGCATAGCCCTTCCAGAGAAGTCCCAGCAAAGTAGGGTTCCATAGCCTCTCTAGAAACCCTGGTGTGCTTTCTGAGCTCCAAGTTACTGGCATTTTTGTAAAACTGAAAAATCTTCACATCTGTGTGGCCCTGTTGTAGAACTGCCATGACTACTTTCAGGATATTTTTCTTAAAACTACTGCTGCCATTTCAAAGAGAGCCATAAACACATACTTTTCATGTGTTTCATTTTTTAAAGTATTTTCTTACGTATAACACAGAAGCTTTAGGGATAAGCCTGGAAAATAACCATTTTCCTACATGTCAAGAACAAAATGAAAGCCTTGGCTGGAAGAGACTTTCACATTATGCCCGTTAATTTTCTAATTTCAAGGGGGTAAAAAAACCCTCCAAGGATCAACTTAAAGCATGACTAGTGTCAAACATCATTTTCTCAAAGGAAAAAACAAAGAAAGAAAAAGGAAAAGTAGTTTCACATGAAAATATTCTGGGTACTTATTTTTAAAAAGTTGTTCTTACAATTTTACAAGTGAAATACTAAATATCAAATTCATATTCTGGAAAGAAATAACATCAACAATATAGTTAACACATTTTTTTAGAGTGGTAGCTGTGCCCCTAGGGCACTCTAAAAGCAAGTTATGATTTCTTAGATGTTGCAGAAGTAAAAAATTTTTAAAAGGAACAAGAAAGGGGGTGATTCTTGGTATTAAACTTGATACTCTGCTAAGTATATAATACTCTAAAGAGCTGAAGAATGCCCAGGATATGATCCATGATAATGCTTCTGCTCAAGAGCTGCTGAGGTCAAGAATTTAATGTGCCACTTCTCTCTTTCTCTTTTTCTTTCTTGTCTTTTCTTTATTTTTTTTTTTGTAAAGAAGCATATCTGATGAAGAGGGAAATCAGATTAGATTCACTCCTCACCAAAACCTTCTGAAACACAGTAGATTCAGTGGTGACAATTTCAATTTGCCCCTGTGTGAATGCTCCATCGCCTTTAAAAATGCTATTTTTGGTGTTAATGCCAGTAAAAGAAGGCAAACACCTTCATCAGCTTAGTAGTATAAATAGTCAGTTAAGCAATGAGAGAAGAAGAAAACACGCCTGGCCTCTGAGTTTACACAGGGAGTCCTAAAGAAGACATGAATTAATTTAAATGACCTTAAACACAAGATGAAAGAATCTCCTTTATGCTCTTTGGAAGAAAAGTATCGTTTCACTTCAAGCCCTTCTCTCGCCATTATTATACCATTTCACCTAATTTACCAGATACACGTGGATTTTAGAATTTTCAAAAATCCATGTGTGTATTTTGATTGATTACTAATGATTATTAAGCAACAGGAAACCAGTGATTTCATGGGATCACTTCCTAAATGTACCTACGATAAGACGGCAGATGAGAGGCGGCCCCCCCAGACCTCAAGCTTTAGGTTTCTGTTTGTTTACACAAGGGCGACGCTACAGACAGGCCACTTAACAGCTGTGTGCGTAGTCTCTATGGGAAGATTTCTTTGAGAATTTTCCACTCAAATAAAAGAACCACCCCCAGAAATACAACTGGGAAAGTTAGCGGCATGGGCTGTCACGCTCTGTGGAAGACGGTAGAAATGCCTTTTGAGAGCCCCACATGTGTTAACCCCCAAAGAGAGCTAGCTATTGGCCCAGAAACTCGCGAGAAAGATAGAACTTGTACATCCCGCAATGCAATTTACACACAGAAAACGCCTGGGGAAGCTAATTTGTGTGGATCACGTGGGGCAAAGAGGGTCCATATCCGTTGCTGGCCACCTGCCCTTTTCTCCAGATGTTTTGTTTATCTTTTCCTTTGAGTTTAACAAGGAATATCACTGTGACTGTATCACATACAGCTGTGTTCCGCATGGCACGGAGAAAAGACTGCATTTTTGGATATTTGAAATGGTATCGCAGAGCAAACAGTCATTGACGTCAGTGCTTCTACAGTGTAAATGAACTTTTTGTATTATCTAGTTTGGCACAGTGGGTCTTAGGCAATTATTGCATTTTAGTGTTTTTGGAATTGCCAGCTAGCCCCGTGGGATGCGGTGGGGGGGGGGGGGACTTGTATCCTTTATTGATTTGCAAATAATGCCCTCGATGTGATGGTATCCATTCATTTCTACTATTTCTTAATACTCTTTTAAAAAACATATTAGATACAAAACCCATCAATAACCTGGAGACAACAAGACCTTGAAAATAGCCCCACTTGCACCTTGCTTGGCACGCACGTGTGTGCTCGTGTGTGTACACGCCTTCAAGCCTAATAGGTAGGTAAAGGAACAGCACAGCACAGCTAAAGCTAACTCTTAAAATATACAGAGAGATCTATCCGTATGTGGGTATCCAGATCCAAGGATCTTGTTACAGTGCAGATGGTGGCCCCTGAGACTGCATTCTAGCAAGCTCCCGGGAGCTGCTGTTGGTCTGAGCACCTCTCTGAGCATCAAGGGGAGAACACAGTTGGTCTGGGTGGGCTCTGCAGGTGGGGCCTGGCCGGAGTGGTGGCCCAAGTGAGGGTGAGATGGGAAGGGGCTCCGTCCAGTACTTACCCTGCATCTGACTCTGAGGCTGAGGGTTAAAGGCAGTGGAGTGGCTCAGGGAGGCGCGAGGGTTGGGCGTGGGGGCTGGGTGGTGTGGGCTGGCCCTCATGGCTGCTGTGCGCCGCAGCTGCTCCAGTTCACTGAGCCGCTCAGAAAAGGACAAGCTCCCAGGCTTGGTCTGATCATCTAGTTTCTGCCGATGTCCTATTGTGGGGAGTGGGGAGGGGAGAGGGCAAGGAGGAAGGGAGGGAGGGAGGGAAGAGATCAGAAAATGTATTGTGGGTTTTCTAAAATTGGGAGTTTCCTGGCCTATCCCCATCCCTCTCCCCTCACCCTCAATGTGGACTTTCTAGAGAGTTCCCCACTGGGCTGGCTGCCAGTGGGAATGTAGGGACTGTCTTTCAGCCAACTGGAGCTTCCTTTGCCACACTGGCCACTGGGTGCTCCCCTAGTCTGGGCCATGGCACCCACCCCAACCCTCTGCACCCACCTCCACTAGGCAGAATGCGGCAGGATGTGGGCCCTGGCAGCAGTGGTGATGATAGGAGGCAAGTGGTGAGGTAGGTATTAACTGTGGGCCCTTGGCCACATTCTGGGTGCTAAACTGTGGCAGTCAGGAAAGGTGGTCTCCTAGTGGCATCAGAACAGCTGCTCCTTATTGCAAAGCCAACCATCAGCAGGTTTTAGACACAGCAAAGTGGGCCTGGAGCTTAGCAGCCTGCACCTCCGACAGGAAGCAAGGTGTGGCTGTAAACCCACAGCCCCGGGAGGCCGCGTTTCCTGGTATGAAGGGCACCCGCAGTCCCTCACCCTCTCCCTCTCCTCACAGGCTTTTCTTGAGCACTTTTCCTTCCCTGAAGCTAGCTCCTCAGGTATATGGGGGAGTTGACTGGAAGGCATAGCCTGGGCCTTGTCCAACATTCCCAGCAGGCTGGGCCCATCCTCTGGAGCCCAGAGGGAGCTGCTGGCCGACTGGGTGAGCTTCCCCGGGGTTTTAGGAGTCAGGAAGAGAAGGTAGGGCCTTCGGCGTCCATGCAGGCGGTAATTGTCCTTCCTTACTCTGCTCCTCACTGAAACACTGTCTCCAAGAAGCAGGGAGCAGAGGCCACTCACGTGGGATGTGGACCTGCAGTTTTCCCCTTAATCCCGTATCAAAGTGTCTCTTTTTTTTGGTTTAAAACATGGGATCTCACTCTGTCACCCAGGCTGGAGTTCAGTGGTGAGATCATAGCTCACTATAGGCCTCAAATCATCCTCCTGCCTCAGCCTCTGAAGTAGCTGGGACTACAGGCATGCACTACCACACCCAGCTAATTTTTCTTATTTTTTGTGGCTGTGAGGTCTCACTGTGTTGCCCAGGGTGGTCTTGAACATCTGAGCTCAAGTGATCCTCCAACCTCAGCTTCCCATAAAGTGTTGGGATTACAGGCATGAGCTGCTTCCCCAGCCCAAAGTGTCTTTAGAATAGAGCTGAGGATCCAAGGTAGGGATGACCCTATAGCAAGCCTGGGCCATTCATTTCATCCTTTCAAGAGTATGGCTGCCTGCTGCATCCTTGCCCTTGAAATTTGAACAGAGACCCTGACCAAAGGCACAGAACCCCCCTCGCATTGGCAAGTAGCCTCAAAGCCAGCTTAGAGAAGCAGCCTGCTTGTTGCCCCCACAAAGTGTTCTTTCACATGTCCTGGTCTGATCCTACAACTAGAAAGAGGATCCCTCGATTCCTCTCTGGCCAGCCGTGGGTGAGAGTGGGCCTCGAGAAGTGCGTTTTAGCCCGGCTCCCACTGGCTGCTGCAATTGTAAAGGTAAATCATCTGACTGGTGTTATGGCTCCACATCTCACGGCCTGCTGTTTCTTCCTGCTGCCCGGCCCCTTGGCACAGTTAACACTGTCTCAAATTCCAGACCAGAAAAAGGGCCCACTATATTGCAGTGATTTTATCATTAACAAGACCTGTTTGGCTCCAAAATGAGGAAAAATACTTAAGCATAATATTTGTGTAGTTCAAATGCAACGCTCCCTCTTTTCATGTGTCACCAAGGCAAATCTGGACTCTGATTCAGAGCTCCAGCCCCAACACTCGACTCAAGCGCAAACACCCCGAGTCACGCAGGCTCTGCACACATGTGGGAGGCCCCTTACGGGCGCAGTATTTTAAGCACCAGCTTTGTGGAGGAAAGCCTGTGGGGCCAGGTTCCCAAGCAACCCCCATCAGCCCTTTCCCGCACAAGTACAAACATGTCTTTTTTCTAGAACAATCTGTGGGTCGGTCGCAGTGCAATTCGGTGTCTGGATGGAGCTTTCCTTCACTACTCCCACCTCCCATCTTTGTGATAGATCCTTGGCTTCCCGAAGATCAAACTGAACAACTTCAACTTTTCTTGCAGAAAAAAAATAAAGCCCAATTCCATCTCAAGAACCATTCAAAGCATAAGAAGTCAGGCCTTTGAATCTTACCCCAGCCTAATGCCAGATATGAGGAGTCAAGGGAAGAAGAATGCAGGAGAAATGATTCCAGAGAGTTCTACTGCCTCAGAAAGAATGCCAGTCACAAAGGCTCCCAGCAAGTTTTGTACCCATTTTGAAACTTCACATTCCTTGGGCATCCAGTGGCATTTTTGGAAAACACTGTGTCAAGAACAGTGGGTGATCCAGGGAAATGATATGTACAAGGTCATCCTGAATACATGGCATTGGGCACAGTGGAGTCTACAGTCAGCCTTTCAAGAAAGGCTGTGGTCAGTTGTGTCTTTCTTGGCCACCAAACGCGTGCCACTGAGAAACAGCAGGAAGAAGTCATTTCAGATAAGCTGCTCCTGTGGCCAGGCACCATGTGAGGTTTTTTTTTTTTTTTAGTCTTTCCTCCCCTCATTACCCTATGCTTAAAAAAAAAAGTTTTAACATGTGAGCAATTTCTATACCAGCTGACACTTGCCAACATCATAGTCATTCGCAGAGATAACTGATAACTCTCTGCTTTAGCAGGAATGTTTGGGCATAATCCTCAGAGAAAACAGTTCTTCACTCTAAGCTATTTCCAAAGCTTGAGAGTCTCAGGGCTGAGTTTAACGTCAGAGGATTGGGAAGAGTTCATTCTCACCCTCCCCACGTGTGTCCGGGAGTGAGCAGGACCAGTGCTGCCTTTGCAGGGGTCTTGGCCCCGTCCTGACAGTGGTGCTAGAGAGTTGTTAACACCCAGGCACAGGGGAAGTGAGAAGCATCATCATCCTCAAGGTGTGGTTAAGATGCACTTATAAGCTAGATCAAAGGAACACTTCATTCTTCTTTTCTGAAACCATCAGATCTCATGTGCCAAATAGCAATATTTTACATGAAATACATAGGAACTTCCGATATAAACTTTCAAGCTGGGGAAAATGAATGCTTTATATGTCTCCAGTTTCCTGTGCCTGTGTTCAATTAAAATGTCCATTTGCCCCTGGATTTTAAATAGAGGAGTATGGAAAATGTTCACTATCAAATTCACTTTTCTTTTCTCTTACTGAGAACTGGCCTTTGGAGGGTTTCCCCAGTAGGGAATTTAACCCTGACTCAAGCCTTCTGGTAGAATTACCATGCAGCCCAGAACATCTACGTGTTGGCAGCCTGGCCTTTTTAGCATGTGAGAAGTTAATTGTGAATGTAAGACTTCATACGGGGATAGCTTAGTGAATCCTACGCAGAATTGAAAAGGATCCTAAATTCTTCTATTACTATTCTCATTTTTTTTGGAATTTTATTATACGTATATGCAGAGTCATAAAAATTCAAAAAAGGGAGAAATAGTGCCATCTGTCAAATATTACTCCATTTCAAAGATATATTTGTTGCTTTCTGAGATGGCTTTCCATTAGGGCATCCCCAAATGTTGCAACATTTTGTGATGGATAATGAGACCAGCTTTCACTTTTCTGCTGTAAAAACTAGACTGAGCAAGTCTGAATATCCATTGACCAAACTGCCTTTTTCAAGGTACTGTTGTGGTCTGTGGCTGTAAGCAACTGAAATATAGTATCTGATCTTCCATTAAAGAAAAGAGATAAAGTTCAATTGCCACCTTGTTTTGGAAACCTTTGGCTAGGGAGAATAAGGAATTTTCTGGAAGTCAACAACATTGTTATTCCACATTTCTGATATGGGTTTACTAATTTTCTTGGTAGGGTCTCAGAAAAATTAGGAAGGTGTATGTTCAAAGCATTGCCATGTGAGCCCCTGAGAGAAATCTGTGCCAAATGTTAATACCAAAAAGATATACAGCTCTGTGTGCATACATTATAAAGCTGTGGTTCTTCTGAAACAGTTTATGAATTTCACATATTCACTTTTAAGAGGATGCACGTATTTCATAAGATATTTGCCAGTTAACCTGCCACTAACTACTTGGATCTGGATATAAAAACATGGCTTTTTCCTTTTTTGATTTGCTACTGTTTGATGACTATGGAAAAACATGTTCTCTCCGTGTGTAGACAGCAGCTCCCTTTTCCTGGCGTAAAAGTCTAACCTCTAGGTTCCAGGGTCGTTGGGATTTAAAGTGATGGTAAGAAATGGAAGGTGATCCTTTCCTGAAGCCCCTTGCAGGTGGTGAAATAAACCTTACCTGCACACCTAACCATCTGCTGGCTGATCAATGTTGGAAAATATTGTTTAATATTACATATGGCTTACATCTCATGCACATAAAATAAATGTAATATAAATACATAATGGATATTGATACATCAAATATTATGATGCATATTATATATGCATGCTTATATATTATCCAATGTAAATACAGGTAGCTTCACTCCACTCCCCACCCCAATTTCTTCTCCTATCCTTAAGCTAAGAGAATAACAAGGTTGGAGCACATCAGAACTGGAGAAAGGCCAGAGAAATCAGCCTTAGTTTTTAACTGATGTGTGGGAAGTGAGGATCAGAAAGGTTACCTCATTTACCCAGTCTCACACAGCCAGTCCGAGGAAGAGGGCAGGCCTGAAAACACACTCGCTCTCAGCACCCACTGACACACACAAATATAAATTCTGTGAACCCAAAATGAACAGAGAAGAGAGGCACACGGTGTCACACAGTTTTCGACCATGGGCATAGTAGCACACTAACTTTTGTACTCTTTGCCTTTATAATTTCATTTCTATTCACGAACTAGGTGAGGGCTGGAGCCATGCTGTTACAGGAGGCTGTGTCTCATCGCTTATGC